CTGAAAGAATGTGGACGTTCCACATCATATTGGGTTGTAGATGTCATCGTGTCCAAAAAACCTCAAGAACAGAAGTCAACTTTAGTATTAAAAGATCTACAATGTCCGGGCAAATTTCTTTTTGCTATTTCCATTTAATCTGAGGCATTAGAATTACCCTTCTGAATTGTCTGTATTTATGTAAAAATGCCAGCAACTGATGTAAAGTAACTGTTGTGTCACCTAGTGACTGGCCTGTCTGTGTCCAGCAGGCTTGAGGATTAGATTTTCCGTCCATTTCTGCAGGGATATCAACACCAGCCATGTCACAGCATGCGGCGCCAAGTCGACGTTTAATACTATTTGAGGATTTCTTGCAGGGAAGCAAGAATGGTTGAAGAATGTAATTTAACATAAATAATATTGAAAAACAGCATCTAGACATCAGAATATATGAATAATTACATGAAAGTAAGAGTCTGGTGTCACTCACATGGCACCTTGGCTCCACATTTAGGTCCTCGTAGCGTTGGAGGGAATCGCGAGATATCGAACTCATAAGGCATAGATTTGCCTTCACCGAGACCGAACTGGCCGATTGGTAGCCGTTGGATCTGAAGGTGTAAATGACTTTAGGTTTGTCCAGTCCCCCGTTCTCCACCAACATGTTTACAGCTACGGCGGAGGGATAGAATTTCATTTTAAGTTTCACACTGTGTGGAAAGTTTACTCGATGTTTAAAAAGCTCCTGTGCCAGTTCCAAGAAATAGAGATTGAAATTTTACAAGTGTGTCAGTGAATACATTTACAGCCGCAGTCAGAACAGTGCACAGAATCTCCCAGGACTGAGACTTTCAGAATTCAAAATGTGTGTGTGGTGGGTGTGTGGTGTTGTGTGTGTGTGTGTGTGTGGTGTTGTGTGTGTGTGTGTGTGTGTGTGTGTGTGTGTGTGTGTGGTGTGTGTGTGTGTAAGAAAAAAAAAAAAAAAAAAATGCATATATTTATTCGTGTGCTTTAGCTACCTTCTCCCACTGTCGTCACAGACAGCAGGGTCTGCAATCCTGCGGCGCTGCAGCATGTGGTGACGCATGTGGACGGGCTTCATGGCAAGTGTAGCGGAGTGATCCAGTGTTTGTCGAGGTTCGGGCGTAGTTGTAGCTTGGAGTTCTTGAAGGGAGGCAGAAAAACTTTAAACTAAACCACGAAGAACTCACTGCGCTGGGAAATAAAGTTACCATTTTTTAGTGTTTTAATCCCTAAGGATACATAAAGCACAGCCCTCATTTCAGTTACTGTCACAGTAGCCATAAGTTTGCTTTTCTTTCCCTCTTTCACATGCGATTTCCATTTTCTAAGATTTAAATTATTGAAAGTTACCAGTGTTTTTTACAGCAATGTTCACTCGCCTGCGTCTTTTATGTGTCCTATTTCGTTTCTTTCTAAATATCAGTAAAACTACAAGCTAAAATGGAACGTTACAGAAACCTTGTGAAATGCAAAGCGCTTGCAATCGATAGGCCCTGACATGAGCCCGGTCTGATCATAATGAAGCTCCGAGCCAAATGGAACTTTATTATTTGAGAATAAAACACTCCTGTATAATAGCTAATGGGATCCTGAAGAAAAGATATTTAACGTTAATGTGTATCGATTTGGACTTTAAGAAATGCTAATGTCTCCACAGCTTGGCCCACAGTGGCAGCTCTAATTCAGTTGAAAGACCGTCCCTGCGAGAGCCAATGTGAGGACGAAGTTTTGTATCACCAGAAGAGGTGAGCACTTTTACTTGCCTCTCTCTTCATTTGCTTGATAAGGGCAGATGAGATGGGGTGAGAAAATAGCCAGGAAGTGCTTACACTGCCCGAGGGGAAGCAAATTTTATGGAGAAAGAGCAATAAAAGTTTGTAACAAACGACACTGGGCTGAATTTTACAATTATTCGGTGTGGTGTTAGCCTTGCGTGGCAGAAGTGTTAATGATGCTGGATGGGATCTATATGAAAGCAGGAGAAGGGTGTAGCTGGGTTTTGGAGTGAGGGGGCAGAACTAGCAGTCTCATTACTGGCCTTGGATTCTGTCTCTGGAGGGCCAATATCAGCCCCGCTGTATTAGCAAGCGCACAAGACAGCCAAGCAGAAACCTAGGGGGCCAGTAGGACAAAGATCAATGTTTTTGTGACGCCCATATACATTACCTATGCATTAAACATACATCATTCATGCCTCTTGATCACTGCTGACAAGTGTGTGCCAAATCTAGCCCGGGGACTCATTTACAGGGGTAGCACTAATGTGAACAACACACAGCCAAATAAACTGGAGCAAGTCTGGCAGTTGAGTGGAGAGGCTCAAGCTGCAAGAGGAACCACTGAGGCGGTGTTGAGAGATAAGATCCGAGCTGAGATTATGAATTTGCTGTCGTTCTGGGTTCAACATGAGAAGGAGTGTGTGGATGAGTCATGCGAGCAAATAGCTGGGATGTGAAATGTAAAAAAAAAGAAGGCCAGTTGGTCCGGACTGCTATTGCTCTTAATACGACCCAAATCAGTAGTCTCCCAAAACATTTGGATACTCTCGGAGTTGGTTAGGATGTCGGCTGATTAAGTGCATTATTCGTTACATGTGCTGTGAGCGTTGGGGAAGGCGGTTCTGTACTGCGGGGCTCGATCTCGGGGACCGTGAGGAGGAACATGGCTCAGCACATCATGACAGGACGGTGGGATACCATCTTCTTAGACATTGCGGGAAGTAGTTGACGCTTGTCGTTGGTAATGATGTCTGTCCAAGATAGGTCCTGTGGAGAGAGCAGACGTTGTCCAGTCAGGAACCAGTGGTTGATTAAAGCCCTTCCAGTGCCCTTACTGCACTAAGGCACTACTTGTTTAACTACTATATCCTTAGGGGCCTATTGTGCACATGGTCCAGGTTTTATATTGTAATTTGTGTCCTCTACGTAACATGTTAGATGCTTAAATCTTCAAAAAGGGCTTTTAATTGTTCATACTTGCCTGTGCTGCAGGCAGGTCTGAAACCAGGAACCCAGTCTAGATTAGTTAGGACGCAGGCTCTGTTGGGATTGTCAACCGGTTAGATGCCCGCCCTATCCTTACATTGTGTTGTTGAGTGCTAGCCAATAGAAGCGCAATTGTTACATGCTGATTGTTATTATGTTTACGGAAGTAAACCAAGAGGCTCTTTCACACCAAGACTTTGCCGTACTTAGTTCATCCAGAACTTAGTTCATCAGAACTCTTTAGTCCTGATGACTAAAGAGCAGATCGCGTTCACACCGGAATAAGTCGCTGATGCGAGGTTAGGCAAATTAAAAGCCACTGACGTCAGCTTCTTCTTCTTCTTCTGCTTTGGGTCTTACTGGCAGGGCCGCCAAACAACTTCACGGCGTATACTGACCCCCGATCGTCCCCGGCCGGGAGTCCCCCGGAGTTGGGGACTGGCTTCAGTAGAAGCTGCTGGGACTCGCAGCAGTTCTACTGGAAGCCTTTCCGAGTAAATCCGCCAGAACGCCGACACCGTCCTCATTCTCCACCGCCCCATGGTTTTATTTTGTGTTGTCAATAAAGTTAGTCTCTTTTGCGTTGTTGCCGCTGGCTAATGCTAATAATGCTAATGCGAGGAACATAAAATGGCGGCTTCACAATAACTTTTGGGAAAGTTTACGGGGCGTGGTTTGCAATCCGCCCAGCCAATCAGAAATGGGAACCTTTTTCTCCCACAAAAGTACCTGCTCTCTAGCAGGGACTGAAACAGGGGGTGGAAAGGTTCTCATAAACTAAGTTCTAGTTCTGGATTTTTTTGGTGTGAACGAACATTTTCTGAACTATATCGGAACTATACTGGGAAAAGTACCCAATGGAGGCGTTTCAGGCAGGGGGGGGGAGTGTGTGGGAGAGAAACTCCCTCTGGGGGGACCTTTGGGATTTTAGCCGTTACAGGCTATTTACATGCACAAAATCCTACACAACACAATAAACAGGAAAAGGAAAACCCCCAAAAAGCATAATAGGGTCTCTTTAAGGCATTGAAGTGTAAAGCTTTTTGCAGAGACAAACATTGTCATTTATAAATGCTGCTGATGCTTTGCAAGTTGTTATCATATGTTTCCCTAATGTTAACAGCTTAAAATGTAAAGATCTCTTTTAAAGCAATCTAAAAATACTCAAAATAACTACTTTAGTTTCAAATAGGCAGTCATGTCTCGGTGTGACATCTCTCAGGTGAAATGTATAATTACCTTTGAGTAGTCACCGCTGTGTTTCTCTCGTACTCCGTTCCTGCAGAGGGTGTAGTTGTAGAAACGGGAGTTCTTCACCAGTGCTACCCACTCCTTCCAGCCAGGGGGCACATAGGAGCCGTTGTACTCATTCAGATACTTTCCAAAGAAGGCTGAGAGGGGAACGGGAGGGCAGTATGTTAATCTTTGTCCGTCGAGCTCAGTACCCGTTTAAATCTACCTCCACTTCCATGTGTCAGACTGGCGGCGCTCACCTGTCCTGTAGCCAGAGTTATTGAGATGCACGGCGAAGGTGTGCGGCTCGTGGTGAGCCTGCCACGAGGGCGAGGAGCAGTTTTCGTTGTTGGTGTAGGTGTGGTGGTTGTGCACGTATTTTCCCGTCAGGATGGATGAGCGCGACGGGCAGCACATGGGCGTGGTGGAGAAAGCGTTGGAGAAATGCGTGCCGCCCTTTTCCATGACTTGCCGAGTTTTGTTCATGGCCTGCATTGAGCCTGGGAGGAGAAAAGAGAGGGAGAAGAAGATAAAAGGGGGGAGAGGTTATAAAAAAGGGTGAGGAGGGTGAGAGGCCAAGGAGTGAAGTGAAAGGGACCCAGGGGGATATAAAACAGTTGGACAAGATTAAAAGGGAAACAGAGAGTGAAAAATATAAATATAAGTCACACGGGGTAAACAGCATTTTTCTTAAATAAAAGGAATGAGAGAAAGTGAATGAGGGAATAAATCTTTTTGGTAAAGTGTAACCTATTTAGATTCCTGTGTACTAAAAGCTTTTCAGGCTGATGGTGATTGTTTGGGAAAACAGATGCTTGACCATAAATTCCTGCTTTTCAATGGGAGCCTTCTCACTGGCGATCACAGGAGGACAAAAGATGTCACAGAGGCCATTATGCAGCCACTCCAGTCCAATACGCCGCTAAAGGACTTAAGCGGGATGGGAGATGGCCAGGGTTTGGCACCCGGACAATGGAAGCCATAGGCTGCCCCTCATTTCATGCCAGCAGTGGAGGAGTTGGCAAAGCAAGCACATGACTTGGAGTGGGCCAGCTGTTATGGTGCCAAGAGGCAGCATTAGGCTGACTTTCCCTTGCTGATGCTGTTGGATACACATGCAGGGAATACCCATACCCATGGGACATGGACACAAAGCAAACAGAGAGAGGCAGACACACAGTAAACACACACAGGAAGGGATTCATGGAGGAAAATGTCTCACCCAGTTCTATGTCCTGATCATCGGTGAGGATGAGGATGATGTTGGGTCGGATGTTGCGGAAGTGGCGATCCCTCTGCAGGCGCGACCTCAGGCGATACCCAGACAAGTGGCCAGAGCCCTGGGTCACAGGTAGGAATCCCACCAGGACAAGAAGCAGGGTGAATATAGGGAGAGGGCCGGAGAGCCCCCGCCCGGCCATCGCGCTTCCCTGCAGTCGCCTCCGCGTCCTTCGTTTCACTCAAAGGAGTCTGCAGCACCCTCAACCTGAGGGATAAGACACATAATGATAAGAAAAAAATACACACACACTAAACACGGGGAAAAATAGCAGATGCAAGCCTTGCACAGCCATTACAGGGTGCTGTTCCGTACAAATGCACCCGTTTGGGCTGAGCTCAGCTCGTTAATCAATCATTAATGATGCATTAGAGTGGTGTCATTGGCTGGGTGTAATGATCTCTGGTGATGAGCACATGGCTGCCAAGCTGGGGCTAATGGTCCTGGGCCCGGGGCCAGCACAGGACTCACCTCCCCCTGAGAGGGTGAGGGTGGATATGAGGGGTGGGAGGAGGTGTGGGGGGGCAGAGGTGAAGGACAGAGACAGAGGAGGAGGGGGTGAGAGACAGGGGTCAATGAGCAGAGTGAAAATGTGTTCTAATCTAAAGAGTAGACAACTTCAAAAATACCTTGTGGAACAAAAGTGATAAAGCAGCTGTAAAAAACAGGACTGTGAATGCTAATGCGGCAAATATCACCAAGGTCAATAAAACTGCCTCTAGACGAGCAGAACGTGCACCTTCTGCTCTCCTTGTGTAGTTTAACATAACAATTAGAGCCAAATACGTGTTAAATGGAGCTTTTTTATAATTAATCTTTACATGCAGTTCACCAAATTTCACTACAATCCTATTAGTTCCCCACTAGCTCTTCCTCATTAACAGTAAAGCCCCCCTGAGTTTACCGTGGCAACTGAAATACTGCTTTTATAAACCCGAGGCAGTGTTACCTCACTATCCGGACTGCAGCCTTAACTACTATTACTATAAAAGCCAAGATCGAAAGACTGCAGGGTTATAGCAAAATAAACCATTAGAAACAAGTGTTTGACTTATTAATATTTATACTGTTCATCCATGTTCATTGCCTATTACATCTCAGCAAATAACTCTAACATTAAGCTTTTCTTTGCTATCCATTTTATATCCAATTATTACGAGAGGACAATACCCCAAAGCCGAATTTGTTTGTCTATTTTATCCTGACAGATAATTAGAGCAGGAATACACTTCAGTGACAATAATCATAAAGTCAGTTTACAAGCAGTAGCATTAGTGTGCCTACTGTCAGTAAGGTAAGGGTGGGGGTGTGTGTGTGTGTTTGTGTGCGCGTGAGTCCACAAGGATGGCCAGAAGATATAGACAATAAAAACAAGACAACAGCTACTTCTCTCTGTTGGGATAACAACACCTTAACGACAACCCGACTGGAATACAGTGCCACATGGGGATAAGCAAGAAAAATGAACAAATACACACAAACACACACGTCACTGTGCCTCGATACACACATACACAACTGTCGCACTTATTAAAGACAGAATCTGAAGTGTTGTCAACATTTATGGGATGAGAGATGACTAACGAGACAAACTGTTGTGTATGACATCAGCCTATTGAATGGCCGTTATCAGTTATTTTCTTTACCATTATATTGCTTCAGACGTGGGCAAACCAAGGGAACATGGGCAAACTGCACCTACCCACACGTGACAGAGGCAGTTTTAAACAAATGGCAAATGTTAATGCTTTGGTTTAGAAAGATAAAGGTTTTGTTTCAAATAAGTATGTTTGTCATAAAATGAAGAAACTTTAAAGAGGATATATCTTCAGGTTCATATTTGTATGTTGTGTCTCTACTCTGACATGTCTCCATGCTTTAACGTTCAAAAGCTCTTTATTGTTCTCATGCCTGTGCCGCAGCACCTCTTTTCACCCTCTGTCTGAAACCAGAGCCAAGCCTGCTCTGATTGGTTAGCTGGCCGGCTCTGTTGTGATTGGTCAACTGCTTAGAGATGTCTCATTAGACCAGTGTTTCTCAAACTTTTTCATACCAAGGACCACTTAACCAATAAAAAAACACTCGCGGACCAACTGACTCCACAAATATCCAAAATCACATCGTTTTTCTAGAACAGATTACAAATCGCCTGAAAATGGCAACATGTGGGATGAAGGTGTTGCGCTGGGCTATATCATGCTATCGAAAACTTGAAACTTAAGCTCGCTCCATTGCGGGGATATTCCCACGAGAGTGCGGAAAACATAAATATTTATTTAAAACGTGAAATTTTACCAATATACTCACGGACCACTAGGGGGCTCTCACGGACCACCAGTGGTCCGCGGACCACAATTGAGAAGCACTGCATTAGATTATCATGTTCAATGTGTTGGAACGCTAGCCAATAGAAGCGCGTGTGTTATATAGTGATGTCATTATGTTACAAAGTAAACAAAGTAGTCCAATGGAGGAATGTCATTACTAATTATTACTGCCCTAAAGGCCTTGTGATTTTGAACCTACTTGTGGTGATCATGTTTATGAATAGATGACATCCAGGAGGTACAGTAGGGCCATTCCACCTTAAATCCACGATCATGATGACAACTAATAACGGCTATTTAGTATTATAGGTGAGAAACATCGCTCTTCTGCCTCAAACAAAGCTCCCTGTTCATCTCAACTCTACACTGTTGTCCGGGTTGTGCACATTAACTTCTTACCAACCACCCACACATGTCCTCTATCCTCTGTTGTGTTCTTGCTTTTCACAAACATGAAACACACCTACACACAGAAATACACACTACATGCACACAATAACACTGTCCAACAGCAGCTGTGTTTGCTGTGGCTTTCTACTGAGGTTCTTCCCCAGAGGAACACATAAGCTCTGACCCGCGGCGCTGTGCCGTTTGAAATTGTCCTTGCTCATTCTTCATTCTCTCTCCCTGCCTGCATCCTTCCTTCATTTACGCCTTGGGATGAAAAGAAGACACCGTCAATGAGGAAATCCACAATAAACCTGTATGCAACTAGCAGTGAATACCTCGTCCCCAAAATGGATTCCAGGACATCTAGAGTGAATAGATCCAGTGTGTTTAAATGAAGACCATTGATTCCTCTTTCAGAGCGGTTTTTTTCGATGTGGGAGGTACAGTATTTCCCTTTGAAAGTTGTTTATCTGTTCAAAAAGCTGATGTAGGCACAACCTGTCAAGGAAGAATACTAAATATAGTCTTGGTTTACAAGAAGACATCCAGCTCGATTCGACATGCTGATCCATCAATAGTATGTAAATGTTGTGTTATTGACACGCCACGGTGGTAGATATCTTCCGACATCACTCCCCAGAGGCCTCCTCCTTCTCCCTGATACGAAGGACTAATTGGATTTCCAGGCTTTTATCAGCCCTAACTGACACATACAGTCCTTTCTTTCCAGTTTGCTCTCCCCTCTCTCTTTTATCTAGCCGTATTGTTTATCTCTCCGGGTGGCAGATGCTACATTAAACCGCAGAGAAAAAAGAGGAAACCAGTATGTCAAAACAGACGGACGCCATTATACCTTGAAGATGTGTGGGAAAATACAGAGATGGACAACCATTAGAAAACAGCAGTTACTAACCAAGCTGTTCTCCAACCACATGAACAGTGTGATGGCACGTATGCATTCATAATGCAAGGCCATCCATGTTGTCAGTGTAAACTGGGATGATTTAAATCTTGTTTTCCTGACAGACCTCTGCACACATCAGCTCTTTCCGCTAAGTGAGCTACGAAACAACAACGCTGATTCAGCCCGATAGCACGGATAGCACGGATTGAAAGATACATTTGTGCCATTTAGACGGAAGCACAAGACAACATGAGTAAATATAAGCGTCAGCAAAACTAATTAAAAGGCTGGGGGCTTGGATGAGGAAGGGCTGGGGAGTTAGCTAGCACAAGGAATCAGCTTCTAAAAGCATATTGTAGGAACAAGGATCGTCTAAGGTTATCCTAATGCCAAGTGATGCCTGGAAGTCAGAACAGAGAGGGAAAGTTTTGCTCTTCAGTCATTCGCTTGTAAAGAGGCTCTCAGAGACAGCAGCACTGCATCACCAGATAAAATCTTAATGCCGTCCATCTCTTATTGATAAGACTGAATTATAAATGCTGTGAGAACAGAGCTGGCCATGTCACACCGTGGGCATGATGGTGAGACGGTGGAGGGATGATAACAAACAGATAGACAGACAGACATGTTGCACTGCCCGACGACACGCTGCTGTACTTCAAGTTTCACAGTACAGGCGAGGTAAGGATAAAGCGGAGAGAGTGCTTGATAAATCTCACAAAGACTTTGCAGAGGTGTTAAGGTACTTTTCCCCTCTATAGAAAACACCTTAGGCCTTGAAACATGCATAAAGTCTGATTCATCCTCCTGAGAAGGCACGAAACCGACAGACGGAATATGAGAAAACCGAGGAAAAAAGACATTTATTACATATTGAAGGAGGACGAGTCATGGCGTTCACTTGCAATTTAATCAGCTGGGTCTCATAATGCATATGAAATATGGAGGAGAAAGCCCACATGCTTGAAGCCAGACTCACGGATTCTCTATTCCAAATGTTCTGAGAGAGATGGAGAGGAGAAGACGGAGAGTCTTAGAAAGAAAAACCAGGAGGCATATAGTTTGGATAGAACAAAGCCTGAGCACTTTCGTTGCAGATGGATTTTTCGCAAACATGAACACTAGATCCACAGACCGATGCTTCCCTACAAAGTAGCACTGAATTAAACAGAAATCGCTAGCAGAGAACCTCCGAATCTCCTCTGCTTCATTCTGTATGCAGGAATTTGCCAATAACTGCTGGAAAACATAAAGGAAGTGGAGAGGAAAGTTTAAATAGACACATCCAGCTCTGAATGTAGCTCGCAGCAACACTATCAAGCCAATCCCTTTGGTCATAATTGAGCCTGGCAGGGCTTTGCTAATGTGTGACTTTGTTCCCATTGGCCTGCCTAGCTCTGAACAGAATGTGCAAAATCTCCAAGGACCCTTCAATTTACCAACAAAAGTTGGCATTCAAATGCAAATTCTGTTACGGCATGCATCTATGTGAGAGTAACTTTCCCTCAAAGCAGTTTATGTGCGAGTTTGCATGGGTTTGAGTATGTGTCGGTAGAAGGAGGGGTTTGCAATCCTCAATACAGTAT